AAACTCATCTTTTCTCTCCCCATGAGCAGAGAGATAATAATGTTGAATGAATGAACATCTACTCTGAAGGGTCACTCTCCACACCCACTTTCCTGACTAGGATATTTCTGCTAACTACATGAATTTTCAAGACATTTTCCACCCAGGACCCAGAGCTTGCTACCTTCCTAATTGTTCACAGCTTTAAAAACAGAAACCCTCACTCAAGTGAGCCTCCTGGGCATTACAATTGCGCATCTGGGACAACTTTGCACGCACCAAGTGGACAAAGGACCTGAGGGGCACCTACGTGAAGATGGCAAGAGAGATACTTGCCCATCTCTGGGCATATCCACAATCAAATGTCTTCATTTAACCCCAAGGTCAAGATAACCCATTTTTATCGTCTCCACAGGTCTCTGAAGACAGGTTTTAGCGAAAGTCTTGTTTGCTTCTTATAGCATTAAATCAGACAAAAGCAACTGCCTTGAAGATGATCATTTCACCAAGCCCTGTTGCTCTGTGGGGAATATTTGTTTCCTCATTTATATTCATGTCTGTAAAAGACAAGTAGACCTTGGATGAAATTTCAGGCGACAGTAAATTATAAATAATATATCTATATATTTTCCCCTTCCGTACTACTTGTATATAATTCCCCCCTGAGTCCTGTGCAAACACCAGAGACAACAGGACAGGCAGCTATTAACATGATGGAAGGAATGAAATAGTTGTACACTGTGTGGCAGGAACACAGAAAGGGAAGACATCTTGATCAAAAGAAGTTTTTTGTAATATGTTTTTTTTTTCCTTTCTCTTCTTGGAGAAAATCCCAGATTTCTTAAATCAGTTACAAAGAGTGTGCTTAAAACAATTGTCTTATCTTTTTTTTTTTTTCTGCTGGGAATGGATGTAGGACCTGCCAGGTGATGGATCCTTCTCCCTCTTGGGGGTCCAATTTTAGGCTCTTTTTCTGTGTCAGTATTTTGGAAGGCGTTAGGATGTGCAGGCGATCTCCATTAAAATCAACCAGTACTCAGCAACTCCATTACCTGCCACTCAAAAATCTTTGACCTTCTTTACCAAAAAAGACCCATAGTTCTGAGGTAACAAAAGAGCACCACCTGTTCAATGCTGGCCCTAGGTGAGGTGGCTAAAGAAGGTGATCACTTCCCAGGCTTTGCCCTTTTCTGTCCTTTCACTTTCTTGATGTTTTCCCTAGCCTTGCCTCAGGGACTCAGTGCTTTTATATTTTCCTTCTTTGACCTCTATTAAAATCTGGTTTCAGAAAAAATATTTGAAACTCATTCACACTATGTTGTAAATGACAATCAGTTATAGTATCAGTTTTTTTGTATTGAGGGCAAGCAACAGGAAATATGCACTCTGCAGAGTGGTGGTGGGACTGTGGTGACCCCAAGACACTAAGATGTAACTGCTGAGGTGGGAAAGGGACAACACAGAGCAGTGCTGGGGAGGAGCTTACCTGGGGATATGGCTGCCAAAGAAGGAAACCTACTTCTCCTTCAGTTGTTGTTGTTTTCCATTGAAAGACTCTTAAGTGATACTAGCACTCTCTAAATTTCAGCACCCTGGGACAAAATCCTAATCACCCCATCCTAGTTATAGCCCTGCCTCAGATATTAGTATGTTTGCACATGGTGAGGGCCTAGGCTTCACCCCAGAAGGAGCAGCTAAGTGGTTCTTGGCTTTTTTTTTTTTTACCTGGCAGGTTGCAGACTCTCTCTGAATGCAAGATGTCACCAAAAGACAAAAACATTCTGTGATATTATCATAATGTTCATGACAACTAGCTGTGGCATTACCAAGACATGAATTAAAGTCTCATACTGCATAGAGCTAGCAATGAAATTTGTGCCTCTTCGGGCTGGAATTATAAGTTTGTGTCTAATAAATATGCAAATAGAGAGTTTCTTTCAAGTACTTGCCATCTATGTCTTTTTTTTTTTAAGGGAAATAATTCTCTCTAAGTTGTGATTCATTTCATTAAAAAATCCAAGTCACAGAATTTCAAAATCTCAGAACTACAAGAGACTTCAAAGCCCATCTAAGCCCCCTAAACCAATCAATTAATCAACAAGCATTTATTAGGCACACTTTTGTACTATATGCCAAGTACTTTGTTAGTCTTCGGGGATAAAAGTCTCTGATCTCAAAGAGCCAACATTCTTATAAGGAAGCAACATGAACACATAGAAGTATATACTGAATATATACAAAAATGATTACAAAGCAATAATTTTTTTATAGAGGGGAGGGGTGGAGAAGAGCTAGAAACTACGAGGGTCAGGGAAGGCTTCCTGTTGAAAGTGGTACTTAAGCTGAACCTTGAAAGATAGGAGGGACTCTAAGAGGTAGTGATGAGGAGAGAGTTCCAGGCATGGTGAGAACCAGGGCAAAGATAATGGAGACAAGAGATGGAATGCAATGGAAGAAGGCCACTTTGGCCAGGCAGTAGAACATATGTAGGGAAGTGATGTGGAACAAGACTGGAAAGGGAGATTGGGATTAGATTGTGAAGGATTTTAAATATGGAGAGAAGGGAAAGGAAGAGAATGGAAGGGAAGGGAAGGGAAGGGAAGGGGGAAGGATAGGATAAGAAGAAAAAGGAAGGGAAGAGAGCTTTTGATCCTAAAGATAATGAGTCAGGAAGACCTGAGTTCAAATAAAGACTCAGACATTTACTAGCTGTGTGTCCTTGGGTGAGTCACTTAACCCTGTTTGCTTCAGTTTCCTCATCTGTAAAATGGGTTGGAGAAGAAATGGCAAATCCCTTCAGTATCTTTGATAAGAAAACCCCAAATGGTGTCACAAAGAGTCAAACATGACTGAAAAATGACTGAACAACAACAACAATTTTCAAGGAAAGAGATGATAAGGACAGAACTAGGGTGGAAACCATGTGAATGGATCAACCCATTCTAAAGTCATCTTTGACTCCTCCCTCTTAAATCACTTTTAATCAGTAGCTAAATGCAGTTAACTGATCCTACCTCCAGGATATCTCTTGCTTCTCCACCCTCCTTTGCATTTCCACCTTGACCCAGGCACTTACTGCTTTTCACTTTTACTCTTTAACAATGTCTAAATGGTTGCTCTGCCTCCAGTCTCTTTCCAATGAACTCTTCATAATCCCTAGGTCTTTGGCTGGGAATCTCCAAAAGTGACTTGGAATGAAGACTTTGAAGGATTCTTTCTTTTGTAGTGGATCAATGCAGGGAAGATCTTGAACACAGAGCTCAGGCAGGTCATCAATTTTCTAGATTTTTTAAGCCATTTGAAAGGGTGTGAGGGCTTCAGCACCTTAAGAGGGACAGGGCATTTACTGCCTGTTACTTGGTAAACATGCTGCTCTGCCTTCCAACCTCACTTCATGACCTAACTCTTGATCTAGACCCAATCTGATAAACTGGATGTGTATGTGGGGGCTTTTACTCACCTCTCTCTAGCAACATGAAGATGGAAACTTAAGAAAAGAAACCAGCCCAACAAGAAAGATGGTGTAAATAAAATTACATGTACATATGCATATAAGAAAATAAACACCCTAGATCTGCATGTTGGATGTACACTAATACACATGTGCACATGCAGACACATGAATCCTATGTAGCAGGGACAGGACTCAGAACTGGACATGTTCAGGATAATCTACATCCTAGAGACTAGGACAGGACCTTCTTTTATAGATCAACCCTAACCCCATAATTCTGTTGTTCTCTGGACATCTTCATGATGGGTTGCTGTGCATGCTTATTTTCCCTCTCCTTCCTCTGTTTTCCACCTCTAGCTCTGAATAAAACAATCAAGTCAACACCACAGTTTCTGGAAAAGATATATCAATCAGTTGTCCTATGGCCAAGGGTGTGTAAATGTTTAACAACGAGTTCTCCAAAAAAAAATATGCATTACATACTTTTGAGTTTAATCTGCATTATTAACATTTTATTCATCACTTTTTAAAGTCTAGACCATCAAGAAAACACAAAACAAGCCTTGATTTGTAGCATTTGCTGATTTTCAAAGTGTAAATGCTCACACTGAAAAGTTAACAATGAGCTCTGGAGCTAGTAGAAACTGGCACCAGGCACACATTCTGACTATGGCCCACCTCACTATCCCCTTGGTTTCTTTCCCAGACAAAAAGACTTCTCTCAGGCTACCACTCCACTAGCTCTATATGTTGTGTTTCCTTGTTAGAAGGTAAACTTTTTGAAGGAAAAGGATGTCTTGCTTTTTGCATTTATATCACCAGAACTCAAGCACAACATTTAGTGTATAGCAAATGCTTAATAAATTAGTTTGCCATTATTTATTATATTATTTGCAAGGAAGTTAGGCAATGCAATAGATAGGGGACCTGAGTTTGAATTCTATCTCAGTCACTTGCTAGCTGTGTTACCTTATGCAAGTCACTTAACTTTTGTTTGCCTTAGTTTCCTCATCTGTAAAAATGGTAGTAATAATAGCACCTACTTCCCATGATTGCTGTAAGGATAAAATGAGATAGTATTTGTAAGATACTTTGCAAATTTTAAAGCTACATAAATGTTAGCTAGCTATTATTATTCATTCACTCATTCATCCTTTAATTTATAGGACATGTCCCAGCTTTGTGTGTTCTCTGAGACAGAGAGAAAAATAGATGAAAAGTCTATCAAGGCAAGGATGTGTGGACCAAGGTGGAAAGGATGGTCTTTGGTGGAAAAGTCTTTTGGAAGAGGAAATTGGCTTCACTTGATATCCTTCCTTGAAGTTGGCCACAGAGGAAGTCTTCAGTGGCTTGCCATGTCTTTGGTCAAAGTGAATATGTTTGCAGGGCTCCTGGAGGAGCAAATGCAGAACTAGAAGAAATAAGTTCCTTGGCAGGAAGAGGCAGCTTAGCTTTCTTCAAGGGCTCCATTGAGGGCCAGGACTCAGCCAAGATGATGAGGGACCATGTTGCTATTTGGGGTATGTGTGAGGGAGTGAATGTGTGAAAGCCCCAATCATTTGCTCACCTGTGGTGAAGCTAGCAGAGGTGATCACACTGTGAATAGCATCCTGGGCTGACTGCAAGAGCACTGTATATTCAGAGTTCTCAGAAAGTCCCTCCAGACGGATCCAAGTGTCATCTGCATCCACAATCAACTCCTGCATGAGGTCAAAAGAAAAGGACAAAAGGAAATCATGGTTCACAGAGACATGGTCAAGCTGGTATCATAAAAGATGGAAATGCAGTTCTACTCTGTCTGGGGGAGGTGGGTTCAGAAATGTTACTCCACTTCTATCTAGGGTATAGTTAAGAACAAATGCAATTTAATTTTTTCATTACCTCCTGAACCATTTAGACCATGGCAGGGAACCCATGCTAAGAAAGACTGTCTAGGAATCTCTTAGTCTCTCTGCGATGGCCCTACCCATTCTCAAGTTTTCTATTTGAGGATCTGAATTATCTAGAACCATCAACATTGAAGATATTTACCCAAAATTTGCCAAATCTCATCTTTATTGTGTGATGTGTAGACACAGACTTTGTGACCATAATAAGAAAACTCAGGAGCTTCCCCATGTGTAAAATAAAGGGGTTTGACCAGAGGATCCCTAACGGTCTTTCAAGCTTTAAATTCCATGATTTATGTGTCATGTAGCTCACCTTGGCTTGACCAAATTGGTGAAAAATGGCTGAAGCCTAGCCCTTTCTCTCTGGTATGTGTTCTCCCCTAATTGTTTTGACCCTTCACTCCTGAGTGATTGGCATGATTGGACGGATTCAGCCTTCTCGTTTATCCACAACTCACCTTCCGGCTTCCATCGTTGGATTTATAGGTCAAGATGTAGTTCTCAATGTCTGCCATAGGAGGCTGCCAGGAAATTAGGGCACTCTGTCTGGTGACCTCACTGGCAGTCAGGTTTGTGGGGGGATCCAGAACTGTAAAGGGGAAAGAGAGACAGAGAGAGAGAGACAGAGAGACAGAGAGACAGCAAGAGAGAGACAGACACAGAGAGAGACAGAGAGACAGAGAGAGAGAGACAGAGAGACAGAGACAGACAGAGAGAGACAGAGAGACAGAGACAGAGAGAGACAGAGACACACACACACACACACACACACACACACACAGAGAAAGAGAAACTCTCAAGAGCAGTTAGGCCACATGCCCTCATACTCTTCATTATGTCCATTTGTTTACTTGGGGTGTACTCGTAGGCTGAGTTTTGCCCATTCTCTGACCCTGTTCTTTAATGGGCAGGGAGAGAGTCTGTTCACAAGGAACTGCTACTTCAAAAGACATTAGATAACTGCAATGGTTTGCTGGTTAATGCTTAACAATTGGCTCTCTGAAAAAAAATTATAGATTATGCACTTTTGAGTTTAATCTGCAGTATTGGTATATTCTCTATCACTTTCTTAAGTCTAGACAATCAACAAAACAAAAGTCAAGCTTGATTTATAGTATGTGGTGATTTTGAAGGTGTAAATGCTCACACTGAAAATTTAACAACTGACTCTCCCAAGCCATAGTAAGCTGGCTCCAGCATACTCATGTCAAGGTCTTTCATTTTAAGGAAAGTGCCCAGGCCAGCCATGTCTTCAGTCCTTTTCTGGTTCTCCTTCCTGCTCTCTGGACTTTATCATACTACTCTGCAGGTACATTCCCCACCCCCCCCAACCATGCACCATCATCTCTCTTTTGTTCCTTATTAGAATATTCAAATCAACTGCAAAGAACCTATGAAGGAACAGCAAGCGGGGTGCTATGATGGGTCAGGCTGGAATTTGTGGGGTAACCAAATCAGTGGGGCATGGATTCCAGGGAGTAGGTGAAAATACACAAAACCATTGTGTTGGTGCTGCCACGGGCCCCCATGACCCCCCCGCCCCGCACCTGCTTGGTCTTCTTTGCCTGTGTGGATCTTCTGACCTCTGGTCTGATGCCTCACCTGGATTTTGTGGTTCGCTTATTCCATCTGCCCCCTAACGAACTGCCCTTGTGGATATGATATCTTCCTGTCCAGACCTCTGACATCCATCTGGCTCTTCTGGATCCCTAGCCCGACCCTTTCTATCAAACCTTACTGTGTAAGCCCTGGCATGAGAGGAAGCAGCTAAAATAGATTTTCTTCTGGTTTGCCAAGAGCCGAAGCTCGCTTTCACTGGCCCCTGTGACTCACTCAGGGAGATAAGTGGCAGTTTGCAGTAGCTTTGTTGTAACGCAGTAGATCATTGGACTAGTTTCTATCCTTCAGTGCCTCATCATTCCACTGTTAGAGAAAGTCCCCTAGCACCTGACCCCAGTGCCTCCAGTCTCTGAGACTTGTACTAAATCAAAAGCCAAGGAACACATCAGAGACTTGAAGCTGGAACACTGTCTTTACCAAGCGGCATTCAGTCAATGCTTTGTCTCTTTTATGGGGCTGAAACACTTCTCATAGTGGCTTCTCTGTATTGATGACATTTATTCTATGGTATGTGCTGTTTGTGTGTTATAGCCTCACTGCTAGTCAAGTCAACTCAACAAACATTTATTTGGTACCTACTGTGTGGCAAGAACTATGCTAAGCTTTGGGAATACAAAAACAAAAACTGTTAGCTCTGTTTGAGGCAGAATTGTGTTTGAATTACCCTCGGATCTCTCTTGGTTGCTATCACAATGCTGTATGAAAACAAAATTCACAGGGTAACCAAATCCAAGGGACTCACATCACAGATTTCTAAGAAACAGTCACTGGATGGATGAATGAACAAAACCAATCATGCTCAGCCCTCAAATCCTTTCAAAATTTTTTTATTTTTTAGATCTTAGAACCAAGATGTCCAATGACCTCTGAGCTTATATCTTTCCATGGATATTTGCATTCTAAATGGCCTTCCTTTGTCCCCACATCAGCTCATTTAAAAACACTATTAATAATAACTAGCATTTCTACAGTGCTTCCAGATTTGATAAGAGTTTTGCACGTTATCTCATTCTGATCTTCACAACGATCCTGTGAGGTGGGTGCTATTGTCACCCCCATTTTACAGATAATGACACTGAGGCTAAGAGAGTTAAAATGACTTGCCCAGGGATATTCTGTGAGATGCCATCTGACAACTGCTGCTGTAGGTGCTGCAGCCACAGCCATCGATAATCAAGAGAGTGAGACCAATGACTTTGTGCAGCTCTGCCTCACTTAAATCCAATTCATGGGCAAGTCAAGGTATCAGCCCATGATATCATTGGTCCTCTTTGAAAAGTGAAGGAGAGACAACAATAACCAGCAGCCCAGCAAAGAAAGTTTTGCTACCAAAGTCCTTGTCACTGTCAAATTGTTCAATGCCAGAAACTGATAGGATTTTGTCACCGAAAATGACAGTAAAGAAGAGGCATTTCATTACCATCCACTTTGTTGTGGCTCCCTGCAAACTATGGGATTTTGCCGTCTGGCTTGCAGCTAAAAGCTTCCATGTATTGTTTCCCTATTAGAATTTGAGCTCCTTGAAAGCAGGAAATGCCTTGATTTTTCTGTTTTTTATCCCCAGCACTTAGCACATGCCTTGTATATACAGTAATAAGCATTTAATAAATGCCTTTTTTCATTCACTCATTCATTCATTTATTCATTCACACAGCTTGTAAATGTTGGAGATAGGATTTGAACTCAGGTTTTCTTGGCTCCAAGTCCAGTGCTCTAACCATGATGCCACCCAGCTGTCTCAGATTTTTTTTCCTTCATAATACTACCCTAAGATGCATGGACTGAAGGCCTTTATCTAGTCTAACATATTGGAACATATCATTTCTAACAGAGAGATGCACCCTTTGGGACATTAAGTCAATGACTGGGCACTTACGGGTGGTGAAGTTGGTGTTGATGGTACTGCTGGTCAGAGGTCCATTGGTGGCATACATGGTGATTGTGTAGTGAGTATTAGGAAGCAGGTCCACAAGCTGGTACTCTTCATTGATTCCATCCACTAGGATTGTTTCCCCGGCAACTGAAATGAGGTGCATATGGATATGAACTGAATAAGGAATCCCTGCTCAGGAAAGGCCCACTTGAAACCAAGGCAATATTGCTAGATCATAAGACATAAGCCCAGAGCTGGAAGGAGCCTTAGAGATCATCTAGTCTAACCCCCTTCACCATAGATGAGGAAACTGAGCCCCAGAGTGGTTCAATGACTTGCCTCCGGTCACATACACAGGTAGTAGGTGAGAGAGGGAGGATTTGAATGCAGGTCCTTTGACTTTGGGTCCAGCATTATCTGTGGCCTTTCCCGGGTCTTCCTCTTGAGGATTATCTTCTAGTTACACTGTGTATATCTTTTATATATGTTGTTATTTGCATGTTGTCTCCCCCATGAGGATATGAGCTTGTTGAGTGTAGGGACTGTGTTTTTGCCTATCTATGTGAGCACAGCCCCTGGCACATAGTAGGCACTTAGTAACTGGTTGTTGACAGACCGATGGACAAATCATCGCTTTTATGGTTTGGCTGCCTTTTGTTATGTTTCACCATGTGTGGGAGGGGGGAGGAGTAGAGAAAGACTCCTTCCTCCTCTGGTTCTCAGATTTATCGTCACTGCCTTGTGGCTTCATCTCCAAGCAGGATAGTTATCCTATATCCTTCCCCATGCCCCCAACCCAATCCCAGGGCACACACAGGCATGCACACCTGCCCACTCACCCAAGTTTGGAGAAACCTACCTGTGAAGTGTGTTAGTACAAGGACGTAGTTCTCCACTTCACCCACAGGTGATTTCCACTGTAGCAGAGCTTCTGTTGGGGTGATGTTGGTGGCAACCAGATCTATGGGATTGTCCATGGCTGAAAGGGAGTAGGGAGTGTCAGATGAGAGGGTAAGGGGTCAGGTAAGGGGGAGGGGAGGTGAAGAACAGCAGACCTTTACCTGGCAGGATTCCATTAAGCGCAGATCACAGGTTTAGGTGGAAGGGGCATTAGACACCACCTAGTTCAACCCCTTTGTTTTACAGATGACGAAACTGAATGACATCCAGAGGCACTTGAGTGACTTGCCAAGGCTACACCCTTAAAAAATGGCAGAACTAGGATTTGAATCCATGTCCTCTGATGCCACTGTCCTAGGCACAGTCATAAATCAGGGAAAGTTTTTTTCCCAGCCTCTGGCCTCTCTCGTGCCCATTTGTTCCTATACCCTCGCCCAGAGAGCCAAAGAACGTTAGATCTGGAAAAGGCTGTAAAGACAATATGGACCACCCTCCATCCCGTTTTACAGATGAGAACACTGTCTGGAGAGATAGTGACTCACCCAAAGTCACATAGCTAATTAGAGTCAGAGTACCCAAGTTTCTCGACTCTGAATCTGATGCTCTTTGCACTGTAATGTCCTGGTTTTCTCATTCTGTCACACCCCCTCTTCTTGGTTCATGTATTCATTCCTTTTCTGGTTACTGATTTACTGGTTATTCATTCCTTTTACTGGTTACCTGAGTCAATCAGCTACCATTTATTGAGCAGCTGTTCAATATATGAACACATAGCATGGTCCTAAATACTGGAGGGGAACACAACAAGAATACAAGGCAACTCACCCTCCAGGAGTTTATAATCAAGTTGGAAAGATAAGAGAGGTTCTTGTGAAACTGTTAAACTAAGTTTTATCTTGTTAGGAAGGAAAGCAATCTGATCAACACACTCACACTAAAGGCGTTAGTGATTCAATTTATTCTTCCTGGTCTATCTGCATTTTAATGTGTTTAGAAAGCCTTGTCTGGAGAAAGTCATGCTTTCAACCCAAAGGAATGAACCTTGCAGGGCAGAAGTGCAGATAGCTTGCATGGCACCTGGGGCCAGGAAATATTGGAGGTCAAGTGGACTTTCCCAGTGCCACTCCAATCTCACTGCAAATGTGATTACCTACTCCACGCACTCAGAAGGTCCTCCCTGCTGCTGGACATTCTTTCCCTGGGCATAGAAGGCAACTTGGGAGAAGCCAGTGTTTCTCTTACTGGGTAGGTGGAGTTTGCTCACCTCATGATAGGCTTGTGATCAGAGAGGGAGCCCTACTCTATCAGACTCTTCAACAGAGGCTAAGTAAGTAGTCTAATGTGCCGCCTTGCCTTTATATATCATGTCGTTGTAGTTCATACTTCAATTTTGAAAAGGACATCATGGGGTAATGTCTTGACTTGCATGAAAATTGGATTTAAGTGAGGCAGAGTTGCACAAAGTCATCAGCCTCATTCTCTTCCAGAGTCATTGAAGTCCAGTGGCAAGACAAAAGTCAGGACAACTAGCAATGGTCTGAGATGCAGTGGATGATCTTGGCATCTTTGATGTCTGACTAGACTCTAACTGCTCCACATTGCCTGTTTCAGCCACCTTCGTGGCCACTGGACCAAATTGTTCTCATCTGTCTATCTGAATATAACATGCTATGCATGCCTGGAGGGCACCCTCCATTTCTGCTTTTTCAAATCTTTTTCTTCTTTCAGGGCTCAGCTCAGGTGTCATTTCTTTTATGAAACCTTCCCTTACTCATCCCTCTCCTCTCCCTCCCCCATCCCCACCCAAAGCTAGAAATTATCTTTCCCTTTTTTAATATCTCATACTCTTGTCTTTGGAGCTCTCATGAACATTTCTCAGAATCTCAGAATTTGAAGAGAACTCAGAGGCCATCCAAGTCTAACCAACAACTGAAGAGGATACCAACATCTCTGACAAATGGTAACCCAGTCTCTACTAGAAGACCTGAAATGATGGGGAAATCACTACCTCAAATAAAATTTCATACATACATGCACACATATCACTTTAAGCTTAAAAGCACCATAAAAATAGTAGCTTGTAATATCACAGATTGTAGAGCTGAAAGGGACCCAAGGTACCATCTAGTCCAACCCCATATTTTCTAGATGAGGAGAATGAGGCTTGGACAGTGATTTGCCTAAGGTTACACAAGCAGTAAGTGGCTGAACTGGGATTGGAACATGAATCCTCTAACTCCAGATCTAAGCCTTTCCTCCTTACCCCACACTGCCTTTCTAGCAGCTTTTCTCATCATTACTACCCCCTGAGAAAGCTCTCTAGGATTTTGGACAGCTCCAGCTGTAAGAAAATTTTTAGCTGCATTTCCTAATTTATATTCTAACTGTGATAGTCATTTGTGTGTTTGTCTTATTTCTCCTACCAGATTGTTAATTCCTTAAGGGCAGGGACCATAACCTGTCCCATTTTTGCACCTCCAATTTCTAGAATATCACACTGTAGGCACTTTATAACTGTTTGCTGAATTAAATTAGTTTGAATCAACCCATGCTTCTTGGGACCAATGTCTATGACTGGTCTGTCTCTGTTCTCTACTTGAGTTTCCAGAGCTTGCCTACCATTCTCATACCCTAGATACACCTAGAATTTTAGGTTGCCCAAACACTCTGAAAATCTTAAGAGATTATTAAACATGAACTTTGCATCACTGGCTACTGCAAATGAGATCCAGGTGAGATTAAGGGTGGTAATTACAGAGAAGCTAGCATTAGTTAGAAGCAGAATGGTGCAGCCCCAGAGATGTCAGACATTCCAAGCTGCATCTGCAGAGTACTCTGGTCAGAGTCCAGATTAAAATATAATTGGGAAATATTTAACAAAATAAATTAAAAATATAATCAAGTATAAGTTATGTTTATTTGTGGTTTTCTTAGTCCATATGTGGCCCCTCAGGGATCTTCATGTAGAGTTCAATGGCTCCCCATTTCTACTTGAGATTGACAGCACTGGCGTGGTGGATAGAGAGCAGGCTTTGCAGCCTGGAACACCTGAGTTTGAGTCCCTGCCTCTGACACATTGGCTGGATGAGTCCTGGAAAGTCACTTAACCTCTCATTGTCCCAGGAAGCTCTGCATTGGTAGAGATAATTTCCTCACCAAACAAAAGCTGAGTATCCCAAACTAAAATTTTAGAGATAAGATACTTGTCTCGCTATACATAACAATCTGTGTAAATGCCCAAGTCACCTCCCTGAGGCTAAATGTGATAAATATGCTGGAGAGGGACCCATTGTCAACAAATTTAAGATCATAGACCTTATGCACCCAAAAAGCAAAATATGAGCTCCCAGGCTAGGCATACCTGAACCATGGTGAGGGGAGTCAGTGTTAACGGCCATTTCTGATTGGTTGTCATTAAGCATCTGCTTTAGGAGCGCCTGTTCTTCATAATTAATAGCCTCAATAATGGTGGTGGTGGTGATGATGATGATGAGGCTAGTTCACATTTATATGTCTTGGTGGTTTAAACAGATGGGCATGGCCATCTGAGTGATGCAGTGATGCCCACAGAATTATAAAAGGCCAAGAGCAGGTATTCTTAACATGAGTTCAATGGGCTAGGGATTTCAGGATGTTTCATGAACAGAAATGGAAAAATTACATTTTTTTCATTAGATATGATATTATTATTATTGATTATTAATTATTTTCATTAACCTGAAATTTTGAATTTCCTTCAATTATTAAAAAAAATATTCTGGGAAGAGGTCTGTAGACCTCACCAGACTGTCAAAGAGGTCCTTGACCCCTCAAAAGTTAAGAACCTTTAGCCTCAAGGAAGTTCTGCAATGTTGGGTAGAGAATCCATTGATGATTCATGGGAGGGTATAGGTAAGAACCATGGAGGATGAGGATGCAGAGGAGTTGTATCGAACAAAGTACACTAGCTTTGATGATATCCATTGAACATTGGAAGTATGTAAACCTTACAAAGTATACAAATAGACAAACGTTTTTTGATTAACCAGAGATTTCCCCTGCTCCCTTTGCTTTCAGCCAGGAAGCTTCTGAAAATCCCTAGGATGAAAATATTTCCAGTTGGCAACGGACCTAGATTTCTAACATTCTTAGGCAGGCTGAAGCAGCTTTCCATGGCTCACTGGGTACCAGTTCTTAGACTCAATCACCTCCACAGTCTCTTTTAGTTTGAAATCTATGCTCTCTGTGTGATTTGGTTTACTGACATAACTAGGAACTATGCTTAACAGAATGAGAAGAGGAATTACATGAAAGTATGGATAGGCTTCTAGCAGGAAGGGAGCCTAGTCTAAGGAGAGGGTTAGCAAATCTATAGGATCCTGTTGGGAGAGGACTTCATGGTTCCTATAGGAATCTTTGCACTGTCTTCCAGATGTTTTTCCCAGACTGCTGACAATGTGAGAAGAAGCAATGAGGAATCCAGGAAGTCGATTTTCATTCATCTCAAAAAGCACTGTCTCTTGCTTGGTGGTGGGTGCAAAGAAATTCCCCAATATTGGGGTTAACTAAGGCTGCTGCCCTGCTGAGAGAGCCCCACCTTTTTCCCATTCACTGTGGTTACAGTGAAGGTGGAAAGACAGATGGTCTAGGCTAGACAGATTGCTTTGGGCTGCTGCTAAGGTTATTCAGAACAGGCTTAAATAATCATGCCTAGTGATCTGCAAGTAGGAGCATAGACCCAGAGCTGGAGACCAGTTAGTCCAACTTTCTCATTTTACAGATGATAGAACAGAAGCCCAAGGAGGTTCAGTCAGTTGGCCTGGAGTCACACTATGTATCAATGATAGGGTTTAAAGTCAGGTCCTCTGATTCCAGTGCCAGATCTGTTTCCATTATACCATCTGTCTAATAGTAGATGCTTAATAAATGCTTGTTGCGGGATAGCTAGGTGACATAGTAGATAGAGCACCAGCCCTGGAGTCAGGAGGACCTGAGTTCAAATCCGGCCCCAGACACTTAACACTTACTAGCTATATGACCCTGGGCAAATCACTTAACTCCACTGCCTAGCCAAAAAAAAAATGCTTATTGGATTGCTTATATCATGTATAGACCACATATTAAACATAATATGGCATGCACAGTATATAAGAGTATGAGATAATAAATAACACAGGGTACAAGGTATATAAATATATGTGGCATATTATAATATATTACAAATGCTATAAAAGGTACTTACATAGAGCTATGCTATATAAATATTACAAAGTACTTTATAGACATCTAATTTAATCCTCACAGCAATCCTGTGAGGTGAGCAGTGTCAGAATTATGCTAACTTGGCTGAGGAGGAAATAGAGATTCAGTGTGATTGACTTGCCCAAGTTAACACAACTACGAAGTTAGGGAAAGCAATGTTATTTAGTGGATAGAGCACTGGACCCGGACACTGGAAGATCTAAGTTCAAATACCACTTCAGATACTTACTACCTGTGTGACTCTGGGCAAGTCAGTCACAATCATTATGAGCCTCAGTTTTTTCATCTGTAGACTAGGAGTAATAATAGTACCTATGTCCTAGGGTTGTTATGAAGACCAAAAGAAGTATAACATATAAAGTGCTTTGCAGATGTTTAAAGTGTAAATTTAATTTATCTAATTAATTATTTGTTTGTTGAATGACATATTATTTATTAATTTTTAATTATATTTAAAAATTAAACTTTTAAAGTGCCATATGAATGTTAGCATTAATGTGAAGACAGCTAGCTAGTGGTGTAGTAGATAGAGTGTTGGACCTGGAATGAGAAAGACTTGTTCAAAACCTCTCTTAGACACTTACTAGCTGTGTGACCCTGGGTAAGTCTCTTCATCCCTGTGAGCCTCAGTTTCCTCATCTGTAAAATGGAGATAATAATAGCACTTATCTCTCAGGCTTGTTGTGAGGATTAAATGATAAAATATGTAAAAGTGTTTTGTGAATCTTAACACATATAATAAATGTTAGATATAATTATTATTCGTAGTAATAATAGTAGTAGTATGATTAGGATTCAAGCTCAGGATTTCTGACTACCCCCAGTGTTATTTCCATTGGACAATGTTGCCCCACTCTGGGCTAGGATGACTGAATTCTTGGTGAATCAGGGTGTGCTTGCATAGGGACCTGACAGGGAGGGCTATTGAAGTGTATTAGCTGGTCTAAGGCTGAAGAGGAAACTGAGTCTTGCCCTTCAAGTAAGAATTTAAAAAAAAATAGACTGACTAGCTGTTTTTCATCTCCATTAATAATAATAATAATAATAATAATAACAATTGATGTTTATGTAGCTATTTTAGGATTGTAAAGCACTTTGCATACATTATTTCTTTTGATCCTCCACAAGATCCTGTCAAGCAAATAATGAGTGCAAACAATAAATCCTCTGAAGTGTCCACGTATTCAAATTAGCGCTATTTGAAGTTACAATTATGTAAAATATGCTAATCGGTCATAACACAAAGGAAATATGCAGCATTAAATTGAATCATATGAGGTTATTTGTACTAATGGGGACTCAGCTGTATATTTATTCTGCAAATAAGGGAGCTGAAAAAGACCTCAAAGATTATCTGGTCCAACCTCCTCATTTTACTGAAGAGGAAACTGAGGTCCAGAAGAGTTAAATGACTGGGATACAATTAATGGGCATCTGAGACAGAATTTGAACTTGGAATTCCAAGTCTCATACTCTTTCCACTACACCATAAGTGAACAAGGACAAACACAGCTACCCTCTGAGGGATGTAGGTCACTGTTTATAGGGGGCTTTCCCAACACAGACTCTTAGTACTGCAGTGAGTTGCCAAGGGAGACTGTGGAGTTTCCTTCTCTGGAGGGCTTTAAAAATAGGACGGATTCTCACCTGTCTGGGGATGATTCAGTGTTTATACAGCAACTTCCTTCCATCATGGAAGCTTAGAAAGGTTCCATATGCTTCATGCTTTGTAAGAGAGCACTTTCCACATCAGAAGCTAAGGCTTGGTGTAAATGCCCTCTGAAATTCTTGACACTTTTAACTCTGAGTAATGGTAAAATCAGTGACAGTGCTGGAGAAGAGATAATGAAATGTATCTCCTGCCTTGGGCAGAAATGTGTGTGGGAAATAGGACAGAATATTATAGACAGTATCAGACAGGGTTTCTGTATTAGATGTTTTTGCTTAATTGTTTTCCTTTGTCACAAAAGAGGGGTCAACCTAGGGAAAAGATTTCAATGTGGAGACAAAAGACAGAGGACCATCGACTTAGAATTGCAAGGGATCTTAGAAGACACCATTCTCTCTCATTCTCATTCTATAAATGATATCTCTTATTCTATAAATGAAGAAAATAAGTCCCAGAGAGGTTAAGTGAATTCCCCAGGAACACACAGTAAATACCTGAGACAAGATTTAAACTCAGGTGTTCTTGACTCTAGGTCCAGCCCTATTTCTACCATGCCATCAATAAAACTTATTTAAAAAAATAACTCCAGGACCTGCTAGGCAGTGAGTGACTATTACTGCAATTTTACAGAGAGACATGAGGAGTTTTTAAGCAATTATGAATCACCTAGCATTATTCAATGTGCTGCTAAGTGTTTAACAACTGGCTCTTTTAAAAAGAAAAAGTGTGCATGGCACATTTCTAAGTTCAATCAGCAACATTAACATCTCCATCATTTTCTTAAGTCAAGATAATCAACAAAACAATACATCAAGACACGATTTGCAGCATTTACTTATTTCTGAGGTATAAATGCTCATACTGAAAATTTAACAACTGGCTCCCACAAGCCAGTATAAGCTGGCTCTAGTGCACTCCCGCCTCTACAAAAATGGGGTCACTCACTGCTGACCCAGGGTTCTCTGTTTTAGGTACAAAGGACTTCACTTTTTGCCTCTCCTACTTTCAATTACTGGGGGAATTCAGGGGCTAGGGCATAGCTGAAGAAGTAGACAGCTGGGGCCTTTCCAGAGCAGTGTAAGCTTAAGCTGGTAATAGATTACATCTGTAGAATGCTTCACCATTTTTAAAAGTGCTTTAATATATGTGATCTTGTTTAATCTTTACAACAGCTATGCATGGCAGATACTATTATCCCCATTTCATGGGTGAGAAAACTGAGGTTGCAGAGAGTTTAAATCACTTCCCCCCCCCAAGTTTCATGGTGGAGCTAGGACTAGAACTCAGATCTCCCTTTATCCTAGCCCAACGTTCTTTTCATTCTGCTGTATTGTTGCATGGAGAGCACTGCTGGAAGGGAAGATCAATGTGTGGGGCCAGTGCCTGTGGTGAGAGTCATCCTACCTGTATGTACAAGTGTGCAGATGCGCTCACTCTCCTCTCGGCCTCGAACACTGTTCAGGCTGATTTCGTATTCTGTAGCTGGATACAGGTTGGTGACGGTGAATTCGTTGACTGTGTTGGGCACCACTGAGCTGTCCAGTCTCCCCACTAGGAAGAATAAAAACTCACTGTTAAATTTCAGCAGTGACTTCCATATTTCAGAAAACCTAATGTCTAGCATGAATGGGAGATCCAAATGGCTGTTTGGGTGCAAACAAATTAGGGATGAAGGAGCTAGTGAGATTCAAGGTTCCTCCCAATCAAGATGTTAAAAAAAATGAAGATGCTAGTTGGTTTGTCTATGAGATGGCAACTTCCAAGGCACCTTCTCATCTCTTCCTGTGCACCAGGTTAATACCTAAAGGTATGGCTGCAAAAAATTATCCTGGCATTTCATGGGAGGGGATATTCTGGCAAACTCTTCATTTCCATCACCCCCTGCCCCCATCATGGGTGTGATTATTCACTGCATCTCATCATGAACCAGGTTCTGGCAAGAGCTGAACATGACGAATGTGCAAAGCCCAATGCCAGCTTCCTTTGATTTGCAGCTTGTCCAGTGTGGCAGAGGCTAGATGGGTACCATGCCAATTGTTTTAGTATAAAGGCACCTCTGCTATTCCTGAAGACATCCCCTGGGGTTCTAGTTCTTAGACTTTATTCCCCCACCTTAACTTCCATAGAATCATAGAATCCCAGCTTTGGGAGGAACTGTCAAATTGCAGAACCAGGGAATTTTTGAAATGGGTTTTTGAGGTCTTCTATCACCCCTAAACTGCCCACCTTGGGCTCTATTATAAAGATGAGGCAGCTGAAGTCACCTGGTCCAGTCTCCTACCTAAAGTTTGAATCCTGGTTTATGCATCTCCTCATAGCAGGACAAATCACTTCTCAATGTTGCACAATAGGGATTAGTTAGTACTGCTGGTTAACAACTAATTTTTTCCCCTAGATTTTAATGAACTGCATTACATTTTGCTCCAGAAATAGGGTGGGAAGTAGGCAAGATTTTAATGGGATCCAACTGTTTTTTTCTACTTGAATTGCATTGAATTAAATCATCAAACTATTTAATATAATGGTACATCAGAAAATTACCATGGAAAGGAAAAAAAAAAAGCAGGCAGGGATGAGTCTGTTGCCCTCTGGTTTGTAATTACTCTTCTATGAAGATGCTTCTTCAGCTCCAAAGACCATTTAAGTTCATCGTTCATAGAATTAGAACTGAGAGAGACCTTAGAGGTCATCTAGTCCAAATTCTTTATGTTACAGATGGGGAAGCTGAGGCCCAGAGGGTTTAATGACTTGGCCCAAGGTCACATATGAAGTAAATAGCAGAGCCAATATTTGAACCCAGGCATGCTGGCATTCTTGTATGCCCCTGTGCCATACATTAATTCTTGTTAGGCTGAATAAATTAGTCACCACTGGCTTACCTTGTGTGGGTCGATAGGATACTCGGTAGTAGTCAAAAGATGCAATGGGAGGGCTCCAGGAGACAGTCACAGAGTCCTTGGTAACATTACTTATTACTATTTCTTTAGGAGGATCGATCCCTGGATTGGCAGGGTGAGAAACAAAGGCACAGGTTTGGAGAAATAACAACCACCCCCACCACCAAGTCCCTTTCCTTTCCTGTCCAGTCTAGGAGCCAATAACATTTGTGGTATAAATGAATAATTAATAAAAGAAGAAACATTTATCAAGTGCTTACCATGTTCAAAGAACTGTACTAATTGGAATTAGAAGCAAGACAGTCCCTGTTCTTAAAGAGTTCACATTCTAACAGGGGAAAACATTTGAATACTAGCATGGAAAAGTTCTCAACTGCATGAATGCCATCTTTGCCATCACAGGCAGACATTGGTCTAAAGGATTATTCCAGGAGAGCCTTACCTAAGACTTTGAAGACATGATGAAAGCTGTACATCAGATCATGGGATCACAGGCATTAGAGCCTAAAGGGGACTTGGAGGTCTTCTAGCCCTCTTATCTTACAGATGAGAAAACTGAGACCAAAAGATACTCAATGATTCGGTCAAGGTCACATAGGTAGTGAGTAACTTGACAGGGAATGTATTACATAGGAGGCACCCAAACTGCATGAGGTCAAGTTGGCTTAGGATAATGGCAAATAGGAGAAAGGGGAAGCTGGTAGAAGGTTAACTTCAACAAGATAAGACACTGGATTATGGAATCTTTAAAGTTCACAGAAGAGAAATCTTTGAATTGGGAGCAAAATGGGCAGTGTTTTGTTGCTTCTACAAAACCCTATACTCTGCTGATGTTTAGTAGAATGTAAGCTCCTTCAGGGTAGGGTTATTTTTGTTTTTTCCCCCTTAGCTTCTAGCACAGTGTTTGGCGCTTAATAAATGCTTGCTTGCTTGATTGTGGTAGCCCTTTCACTGCCATCTTTGGTCTAGTTTGAGAAGATTGACTAGTGACCATAGAAAGATTTCGAAGCATGAGCCCAGAGCAAATCCACTTCCTTAATTTTTTTTTTTACTGCTGTCTTACTTCTACTCTTCTCCTCCCCTTTCTCTCTCTTGACTTTACCTGTGGTGATGGAGCCCACAATTGGCTCAGAGGTCACCATCCCATGAACAGCCACCAGGTTTACAATGTACTCAGTGGCTGGTTGTAGACCCATCAGAATGGCATGCCTTTTGGTAGCATCCAATGAGACTTCCAAAGCCTCTTCCTCCTTATCTCGTGGATTGTAATTCAGCAGGAGCCTATCAGCTGGCGGGGATGGATCACTCCAGGTGATGTTTACACTGGAGGAAGTGACATGAGAGAAGTGCAGATGGGTGATGGGACGGAAACCTATAGACCAAAAGGAAAGTTGATGACTTAGGCACCAGCAACACAGCAGACCTTCCACAGCCTACTGCCTACAGACTAACATGGTCTGGAATTCTAGAAAAGCCTTACAAATAGGGACCAGGAGTCTTTTGGCCCCATTCCTCAAGACTGCACTTCCCCACAGAGAAATGGGCATAGGCTCACAGGCAGGAATGATGCCAGGGTCTGATTTTATTCCTCTGTGACTGATAATATTTGGCATTGGGTAATTCCAATGCTGTTCTAGGGCAGGGTATTTTTAGTCAAGGGAGATGCCCAGAAAGGACTGGGAGAAGACTGGGTCAAGGCTCCCTTTCCTGTGTACCTCTTGCTTTAAGCCAGTGTAGTAGAATAGAGGGCATCTCTTTTTCAAGAATGCCTGATTACTTTGGAAGACATGAATGCCTATTAGAAAGGAGTGAGCCAGCCTCTTTGGGCTGCTACTTTTCTTACTACTAACTTTTCTTGCTGCTTTTCTATTCTTACCACGTATTCTGGCATTCCCTCTTTCTCCCCCTCTTTCCTCCTTTTCCCTCTTCTCCCATTTCTCATTTTCTCCTCCTCTCCTTTTTTTCCTTCTCTCCCTCTTTTCCCTTTCTTATTTCTTCCTTTTCTCTTCCCCTTCTCTACTCTCTTCTTTCTCCTCCCTTTCCCTTCACCTTCTTTTCTCTTTCATGTAAACTACCTCCAAAAGACTCAGTTTTACCTACGAGCTCCTCTCTCTCTCTCTATTTCTGTCTGTCTCTGTCTCTCTTTCTCTCTCTGTCTCCTCCACCTTTCCCTTCATCTTCCTCTCCTTCCTGTTCATCCCCCCTTTCCTTTCTCATTCTTCTCTTCTCTCCTTGAAATAAGTATTAGAATGTATGTTGTCTATTTCAACTGCAAAAGCATGATGGATTTTAAAAACAAGAGAAAGGTTTTGCTCCCTGGAATGGCAGAGGTATGTAGGCAGGGGCTGGAGCTCTAGCTATCCCTCCCAGTCCTAAGACCTGTGATTTTCATGCCTTTGGGATGGGATCTGTGCCAAATCACTGGAAATCAAAACTGAACTGAGTTAGGTGTTTCTGCAGTCCCAGTACCTGTGAAGGCGTCCACTGTGGATTCCAAGCTCTGTTGCCTTCCCCTCTCTGCAGTAACTGATATGATGTATTCAGTACCAGGCTCCAGGTCTGTAAGTGTGTATGAGGTCCTGTCTTTGGGCACAGTGATCTCTGAGGACATTCCAGATGCAGGCGTGAAGGTGATTCTGTAATGGTCAATGGGACCACTGGCCTTGGTCCAGATGAGGGAGATGGAGGTCTCGGAGGAGGCTGTCACCATGAGGTCACGGGGACTGTCCAGATCTGTGGGCGAAAGGTGGGATCTTCATCAGATTCAGCTGAAGCAGTTTGTGGAAAAGCAGCCCGAGGCAGCATAGCCTAGCTCTGAGCAGAGCCTGGATTTAGCCTAGATGCCCCTGGGGGCTCAAGGTAATCAGATAGGGCTGCCAGCCACCAGGATTAGCCTGTCACTGCTGACAATGATCTCACACTTTGTTAGCACCTTGCATTTTGAAAGATGGCCAGCTGCTTGCAAACAGATGGACAATCAGCTGAAAGGTATTATTAGCTCAGACTCCCCTGGAATATATCCACCCCTGGGAGGAGGCTGCTTACAGATTCTCAGTCTTTTTTAAACGTGACGAATCCTCCCTGTTCCCATTCATTTTCTTTCTGTCTCTTTCTTCCTATCTGTCTCTGTCTCTGAGCAAGCTGCCTAATATAAAACCATGCTAACATTAAGAAGCAAGGTAACTATTTGGGTGATTTCACTCTGGCCACTCCCCACACCCCATCCAAATTCCAGTCACTTGGAGCCTAGGCAGGCCACTGTGATACAAGACTGGACTGAAGCAGGTTTAGGCATCCTGAGGCAGAGGACCCCTGGATTTTGGATTCATCTCAAATGGGAGGGGTTTCATAGGCCAAAAAGGGGGCAGGGGCTGATCAAGGAGCCCTATTCCTAACCTGAATGTGCATACCTGAGTCCCTGGGGTGGCCCTGGATTAGCCTAGTCTCTAGATGATGTCTCTAGGGTGGTATAGAATTTGATGGGACTTCTCTTTGCAGTTTGGATTATGTAATCCTTCCAGGTTGTCTTGGTCTGGACCTGAACCTTGGTGATGATTCCAGAACCTGCTCCATTGATAGGAATTCAGGAAACTGGCAGGGTCAGCTCACCATCAGATTTACTACACTGAAACTTAGCATGATGGGGGAGGCACAGCTCCATTCCAAGACTGATTTCACTCCACACCTGTGCCTGTTTGAAATCTTTCCCCTCTCTCTTTCATTTTCATTTGTGACTGGTGCTTTTTCCCCCAGTAGAAATGTAAGTTCCTTGGAGGCAGGGGCCATCTCATTTTTGTCTTTTTATCGCCAGTATCTAGCATAATGCTTGGCACATAAGTGGTGCTTTGCAAAATCTTGTTGGATTGAATAACTCCTTTAGAACCTGGCTAACACTGACCAGATCTTTGAAGAATAGGGTTGAGACCTGGCTGACAGACCTCAACATCATTTCATATGATAAACACATTCAAATACTTCACTAGATTATTCCTTCTCTGCCACAATGCCCCTCCCCATGCCCAACCCAGGTGTTAGTAACTGAGAGTGGAAATGGACATTTGGGGGTATTGCTTTCTGATTGACTCTCCTATAAGACAAACCTTTGCATGCCATTGGAGGCAGTCAAGTTGGCTTCAGCTGATTCCTTGCATTGTGCTTATGGTCTCATGAGTGAGCATTAGTACTCATCTATCAATCTATACAAATTGATTCCCTTGTGGCAATACCTTTGTGACTCTCCTGACTTACCAGTCCTGGCATTTATGGTGGCTGGTACACTCTGTTGACTGCCCATGATCGCTGATATCCCAACACCATATTCTGTCCCTGGCACGAGATCTATCACCAGACACAAGAAGTGAAGGTTATATTTCTTGAGAAGTGCCCCCAAGGCTGAGTATCTTGGGCTCTCTCTTCCCTCCTTTCTCTCTACACTTTCTCCCTTGGTGATCTCATTAGCAACAGTGGGTTCAGCTACCACCTCTATGAAGTTGATTCCCAAATCCACATATCTAGTCCTTATCGCTCCTGAATTCCAGTTTTTTATTTCAAATTTCCTGCTGGAATTTCTGTAGGCATCTCAAACCCAACATGTCTAAAATGTGGAATTCATTATATTTCCCCAGTCCCTCACCTCCAAGCCCATATCTCCAGCCCTTCCCATATTTATTGATAGTACCATCATTCACAGTACAGTGGAAAGAATATTGCCTCCAGAGTCAGAGAACCTGGGTTGACATCCCACCTCTGATGAATATCACCTGTGTCATTGGGCAAGCCACCTAACTTCTGTGGGCCTCAGTTTCCCTATCCATAAAATGAGGAGGTTGGACTCAGTAGATTCCAAGGTCCTTCCTGCTCTGTAGCTATGGTCCCACGATCCTTTGCCATTCCAGTTACCCAGTTTCATGTCTTCTAGTCATCCTTAACTCTTCCTTCTCTCTTAACCTTCCCTAGTTATTCAGTTGTCAAATCTTTTTATTCCTGCACAGTATCTCTCACCTTTTCTCCACTTACACAACCCGTATACTAGCTTGGACCTCATCATTTCTCCCTAGGACTATTGCAATGGCCTTCTAATCAGTCTGCCTTTTTTCAGGATCTCCCCTTTCTAACCCATCTTCCAAGCAGCCGGCAAATTGATAGCCCTAAAATGTTGGTATGAATATGTCGCTGTCCTACTAGAAGCTCTTTGATGGTTACCTATTCCCAATAGGGAACGTCTCAGTCTATCATTAAATGCCTTTGGCAATCTGACTCCCACCTTTATTTCCTGTTTTATTTCAAATTCCTCACCTTCATGCATTCTCTGTTCTAGACAAACAGCCTGCTAACTGTTCTCTTTACATGACATTCTACATCTTTCTCCCATGCCTTTACACAAGTGGTCCCCCCTGTCTGCAATGCACTCTGTTCTCCACTCTGTTTCACAGAATCACTAGGTTCCTTCCTTCAAGGAAAACCTCATGACTTCCTCCTGCACTCAACCCTTCCCTGATCCTCTGAGTTTCTTAGCATTTTCCCCCTTTTGGAAATACTTGGTATACAGTTTGTATTCATTTACTTTATGTACGTAGTCTACCTTCCCCCACTTTGAGGACAGGGACTGTTTCATTTTTTGGCTTTTTATCCCAAAGGACTAACACAGTGCCTGGCACACAACAGGTACTTGATGAATATTTGCTGAATTGGATTGACATGAATTGGTCTGGTTTTGCATATGCCTGTCTATGCAGGAGTTAATTGGATTTTTCCTTTCTCTGTCCTGAACTCCTTTTCTGGCTACAATCCATTAATCATCTTATTTTACTTATTTTAGAAATTTACTCAGGAAGGATATTAGATGTTACCCAGGAACCTCTGCAACAGTGTTGGTCACCTATAGAAAAAGTGAGGAACCCCCTAACTTATCTATGATCTGTCATAATTGGTAATTTTTTTGGGGGGGAAGGGACTTCTTCCTGTTGTCCTCTGACCCTTCACTGGCATGTAGAATAGGGTCAAACTGGAAGAAAGGATCCCTTGCTTGACCTGTGGATAGACTTGAGAAATGGAGTGGGTTCAAGATGAAGGAGTCTAGGTGTGAGATCAAAGATGAGTCTTTAAAGCAAACTCTCTTGAATGTTGGGTAAGACAATTTATCCTGAGATCTCTGATGTGAACCGACAACAGGGCATCTTCCAGGAGAACTATTTCCTTGAAACACATGTGACAATCATTGTAATGTACTCTCTTATTTGGTAGGAAGCTATGTTATGAAGTAGGTAGGGAGGATAATATTATACCCACTTTATAGAAAGGGAAATTGAGGCATAGAGGAATCAAATGACCTATTCAAGATTTTCTCTCTCTCTCTCTTTCTCTCTCTCAAACACACACACACACACACACACACACACACAACTACTAAAGGATGAAGCTGGTCTTAGAACCTGAGTCTTTCAGTTCAGTGATTTCTCCAACACCATATTGCCTCCATTATGACCATTCATTCGTATGCAGAGATGTTGAGCACCCACTGGAAAATTACCATCTGAAGATGCGTATCAAATGCACTGGTGTGTACATCGCACATATGCCAGTCTTCCCTTTGGTTTTGGCTCACTGAAGCCTGAATCATTGAGTGCCTGCTCAGATCCATGATTTATGGTGTCTGGGTGTCAATGAAGTCCACATCTCTTGGCTTGGGCAGGGTTCCCTTTTTTTGCATCAAGTAAGTCTAGTGCCCTAGCATGCACATATGCAGTACAATTGTCTCCTGTCTGTATGCTAGACAAGCCCCTTGGCTGCAGAAATTAGATTACCTTTGAGACATAAACTAGTTCTCTGAGGCAGCTGATTGAGACCTTCAATTGCCTATAATAAAGAAGGAATTGTGAGACAGAGATGAAGGGTGACAAAGAGAGCAAGGGAGATAGGAATTATATGTTACCAAACTGATCTTACATATAACATTTTTGTCTAAGTTTTCTTATTTATGAAGCTTAAATGAAATGTTCAATAATTTACAACAGAATCATCTTCTCCTAGAAAACTGCCGAGCAGAATTTAGAGTGCTCTCTTTCTGGGTTTTCTGTCTAGGGGATGGGGAAGCAGGCATAAGGTTATAGGTTTGTGCTTGCTGGTTTCTTTTGATTTTTGGCAGCTTTCTCCCTGTGCTACAAGTGAATTGTTGCTCTTTGCCAGCAGGTAAAACACAATCCAGCTGCAAAAGAAAATGTGCATTCCAAGCACATCCTAGGACTACCCATAGATCAGTCCCCAAAGGACACTCTTTTGCAAGATCCCATTGGACTCATTGGTGGCCTATTTATCTCTTTACCCCCATCTCCTTTAGCTCCAGCTCAGCCCTTTCTTGAAAATGACTCAGATAATTACTTGTTTAGGATGTAGATTCCATCACCTGCCAGCCTCCTAGAGAATCCTTACTCCTGGTGAAAGGGACCTTAGTGGTCATTTATTCAAATTCCCACATTTAATAAATGAGAGAACTGAAGACTAGGATGGTTAAGGAACCTGTCCAAGATCATAGAGGTAATAAATGTTAGAGGTGGGGACTTAGACTCTAGACCCACCAGAGGTGCCTTTCTCACCTCACCCTCCTTCTTCATACCCTCGGCTGGCCCTGGGCCATCTCAGAATATATCTAGGAAGGCTGGAAGGTTGGAAGGCTTGCTACCACTTGGGGCTCCTTCCCCATTGGGTCCAGGGTGCTTAACTGTGAACACAGCTTGTTTGAGAGGGTACTCTCTTCCCTCCAATGAGATGGAGAGATATTGAGCCTTATCACTCACCCTACCTTTGTAGCCTGCACTGCTCAGGCACTCTCATCCAATCTGCCCAATGATGCCTGGGCATTATTATCCATCTGCACCCTGAGGACTTGCAAGTATTTCTATTTGCCCTTTAGCTAAACTTTCTTTTATTTCATCTCATTTCATTTCATAAATTCATTTCATTTTATTTCATCTCATTTCATTTCATAAATTCATTTCATTTTACTTCATTTCAATTCATTTCATCTCATCTCATCCACTCATTTCATAAAAATAATTTTATTTCATCACATTAGAATGTACTCTCCTTGAGAGCAGGGATGCTTTCTATGTGTGTCATTAGCACCTAGCACAGTACTTGGCACATAATACATATTTAACTTATCACTAGCATTTATCACCAAATGCTTCTTTATTCATTTATTCATGCTGTGTGTTCTTGTTTGATCCTTCCAACAACCCTGTAAGGTAGATATTACAGGTATTAATATCTCTCTTTACAAATGAAGAGTTCACGGTTCAGAGAGGTAAAGTGAGCATGGTCACACAGCTAGCAAGTGCCATTGGGGTAGAATTTGAACTCAGTGCTTCCTGACTTCAAGTACAATACTTTTTTCTTCCTTGCTCCTACTCTGGCCCACCTTAATTCCATTCTTCCCTAAATTCTACAGGTGGTTCAAACAGTCATTAGGTATTTGCTGAGCGTCTACAATGTCCTTTACATTCTGTTTATAAAACTCTGGGAATTATGATGAAGACATGTTCCCTTCCCAAGACGAACCCGCAGGAAGCAAGAATAAACAAACCAGTATGTAAGTAAATGCCTAAGTGTGTGGCACAGATTATAAATGGTGGAGTAGTTAAGGAAAACTTCCTGGTGGAGGCAGGCCTTGAAGAGTGGGTCTGATTTGAAGTGGATGTGAAAAGGGAGGGCATTCTAGGCAAGGGACCAATATGAGCAAAGGCCTCATTCAAATGGGAATGAAGCCTTGAGACAGTGAGAAGATTGAGCCAATCAGAACAGATTTCATTGTTCTGGAGCTCTGAGGACTAGGAAAGAAGCATAGGAAGTCCCCAATTTAGAAATGGATTGTATTCCAAATATTTGTTTATAAATTAGTTGTTATGAAGGTGTTTCCCACCTACCAATTTTGTCATACCTACTTTTTTTGCCTACCAACATTTTATCTTATTTTTAATTTATGGAATAAAACAAGCATTTCCATAACATAGTATAATTTTAAAAAGATGATTGCCTATGAAATGGCAAATTTATTATGTACAACTTGCTATTCTTTTTAAATATATAATAAAGTTATCATGTAAATTTCTCTTTTTTCTTCTCTCCCCCCAACCCCACCCTAGAGATGGACACAAATATGATACAAATATGTATGTATGTGCATGTGTGTATACATACATACGTACATACATACAGATACATAGATATGTAAAACCATTCTACACATGCTTCTATATATCAGTTCTTTCTCTGGATGCAGATAGCATCTTCCTTATATGTCCTTTGTAGTTAATTTGGGTATTTATAATAGTCAAAGTGAC